AAGATCCTTGAAGAAGAACGTTCGGGGTTTATGACGATGTTCCACAGGAACCGGCTTAATCTGTCTCATATGCTCTCTGTAATCTTCAATGAATGTTTGAGGATTGGCCATAAAGTCGTCAGGGATGAAAAATTCGCCAGGAATTTGTAGAGTAGTTCTGTAGAGGAATTCAGCAGGAGAAGCTCCAGTGTCACTGCGAACAGCTGTGCGAAGGCCTAACAGAATCGAGGATAGAAGCTTAACCCAATTGAGGCTGTGTAACATATCAAGGCAGCTTTGAAACTGCGGTGCCAGTGTTCTACCAGGCCGTTGGCAGCGGGGTGATAAGCCACGGTTCGTTTTCTCTAGCAGCTGATGAGCGAGAGATATGCGTTAAAGAGAGAGGACTCGAATTGGGAGCCTTGGTCTGTTATGATGAATCTAGGAGCACCGTAATTAGCGACCCAGTTCTCTTAAAACGTGCGAAGTACAGTGGAGGCTTGAATGCCCCTAAGAGGAACAGCCTTAGCCCATCGGGAGAAACGATCAATGATTGTTAACAAGTAAGAGAAACCTTCACAGGTTTTGAGACGACCAACTATATCCATATGGATGTGGCGGAACCTGTCATCAGGCGCAACGAAATGGCTAGGTTCATTTTTGACGTGGCAAGATATTTTAGATTGCTGACAGTCTAGGCAACCCTGGCACCAAGACCTAATGTCACGGTGCATATTAGGCCACACGTATTTTTGACGTAATAACAGGGCAGTAACTTTGGGTCCAGGATGCAACAAGGAATGAACTAAGTCAAAGATGCGTTTGTACAATGATTTAGGAATGAATGGTCTTAGAATTTTACCAGTAAGATTGCAGAAGAGGCTGATCTTGTTGTGACCAAGCTCGATACTCTTGAGATTAAGTGAGCAGTTTGACGATTTTAGAATCGATTCGAGCTCTACGTCAGTTTACTGATGTTGAGCAAGCTCTGACATTTCGAGATCAATAGGAAGTCTAATCATATCAATGCAAGAAAGAGTGTCAGCCACTACATTGAGAGTGCCGGAGAGGTGTTCGATGAAAGTCATGAACTGAGAGATAAAGCAGAGTTGTCGTCGCTGACAAGGAAAAGCCTTCTCTGCTTTTTGGTTAAAAGCGAAGATCAAGGGCTTACGATCAGTAACGATTTTGAAAGTTCTGCCTTCCAAAAAATACTTAAAGTGTTTGATTGCCTCAAAGATTGCTGTGAGCTCTTTGTCGTAAGCGGCATAGTTTAACTGAGCTTTAGAGAATTTTTTAGAGAAAAAAGCTACTGGCTGCCAGGCGTTGTTAAGAAATTGTTCGAGAGCGGCGCCCATAGCGAATTCAGAAGCATCAGTTATAAGACGAGTTGGAGTATCTACTGCCGGATGAATTAAGAGTGCGACATTGCTGATATTGGTTTTGGTCTTCTCAAAGGCCTGTTCGGCTTGAGGAGACCAAAAGATCAAAGTTTAGTCGTTTTTCTTGGTGCCACGAATGTAGGCATAGAGAGGAGACTGTTCTGCGATAGCTAGTCCCAGAAACCTGCAGAGCTGAGCTACCGTCTCAGTTTTTGGAAAATAAGCAACGGCTTCGACATTAGTAGGACAAGGCCTAGAGCCATATTGATCGATGAGGTGGCCAAGAAAAACTATTTCAGACTGGCCAAACTCTCATTTTGGAACATTGAGTCGAAGACCAAAATTCTTGAGGCGATCAAGAATAATAAGAAGGTGACTTTTGTGCCCCTCAGAAGAAGAAAAAGACAAGAATGTCGTCGAGGTAGACGAAGACGAAGTCTAGGTCACTAAGAGCACGAGTTATGTATCGCTGAAAAGACTGGCAAGCGTTTTGAAGGCCGAAAGGCAAAGAAGTATTCAAAAAGCCCGAAAGGCGTAGTAAGTCTTGATAACGTCAGTTGGAGCGACTGGGATTTGGTAGTAGGCACGATAGAGGTTTAATTTAAAGAAGACTTTTATACCACGTAGTTTTACGGCATAGTCGTATTGGTAATTTATCTGGGACGGTGCACGCGTGAAAACGACGGTAATCAACACAGACTCTCCAAAAGACATCTTTCTTCCGGACCAAATGTATTGGACTGACCCAAGGGCTCTTGGAGTATGTGCATGTACCCTGATTGACCAATTTTTCGAACTCACCCTGAGCTGCCTTATACTTTTCGAGATCGAGGCGTCTCGTACACACCGTAACAGGAGGACCATTAGTCTCTATATGATAAAAGACATGTTTAGCAGTTATCGGAATGGAGGGCTTTTCTCAAGTGACTTCAGGGAAGTCATTAAGAATTTTATAGAGGGTCTATAATTCTGCGACGTGAAACGTCGACTATGAGCCAGAAAAAGTGAAAGAAGTCCGCACCCAGGATGGGGGCTTGGGACTTCAGCATGAATAAACGTTTAAGGAAACCGACGTTTAAGGCGAAGATTAAAATTCAGACGTCCCTCACCGAATGTCTTGATGACCGAGTTGTTGGCCGCAAAGAGTTTGAAGGTAGTCGGCTCGGCAACAGAGTTTGTGTTGGGCAGTAAAGAAATTTCAGCTCCAGTGTCGACTAGAAAGGTCAGGCCAGACTGCGAGTCACGGATATGGAAGCATTTACACTTGCTTCCCGCTCTCTAAGCTTCCACTCGAGGGGAAGAAGTTAGTTTTCCTGAGAATTCGGTGAAGAGGCCGTCCATGAGCAGTTGCCCCTACAGCGGTGAGCCTTGTCACCATACTTCGCATGCAGATAATAAAGTTGATTGTTATTGTATTTGGAGCTTTAACTTTTTCTTCGGTTACGGTTGTAATTGTCCCGACTGCGGGAACGAGGATACGAACGAATCGAACGGAGTGGATTATTACTCACAGTTTCCGCTTGAAGTTGTCTACGTTGAACGAAAGCTGTTTAAGCGTCCCGAAGGCCCTGTCGTCCATGGACGAGAACTGAGCTTTGACTAAACAGATCTCAGCCTGAATAGCCGAGACACGGGGGTCAACAGGAGGTGTCTAGGAGTTAACAGAAAAAACGTGAGATGTATTGACCGGTAAGCAATCATAGAAGCGGTCTGCAGCATCGGCCAACTCAGAGTCGGTCTGTGCACGTCGTATAAGAAAGTCTAATGCAACGAATTAAAAATAATTTTTCTACATTTTTTTTACTACACAATATAATCTCAAATTTTAAATGCAACTAACATTAGGCAATAATATTTTACGAAAAAGGGTTTACTATAAAAAATTTAAAACAGACATTTATTCGTTGAAATAAGGAAGTTTGTAATTTTGAAGGTTATGATGGATTTTGAGTGAACAAAACGTATAACGTACATACCATTGCAATCTAGTGTTTTTAAAGTTTTCAGGTTATTTTACTGCCTCTTTTTGAAGTATTTGTTAGTTGATTGCTACTCGGTATTATACATTTACTGTCACGAGATCTTTTACGTTAATATTCCTAAACCTACAGACTTTATATTTTGGTATAGGTTGATATCTTAATACGCACAACATTCGTTATAGATCATAAACAGTAATTAATGTTGTAAGCACCAATCGTTTACATTCTTACAAATACACACAATTGCACTAATTTATTTTGTAAGAAAAGCGCTCTTTAAAGACGCAACGACAGCTCTTAAACGAAGTAAGCCGAAAATCAAATACAGTAGCATGTATGCTGCAGTTGCTGGTAACACACATGACATGTAGAACGAAAGCTGAATGTTATACGACAACAAGTGTTAAATGCATAACGGGTGATGTTTCACGTCATTTTGAATTTTTAAAACTCGATAATAGATTTATTACAAGCCGTCTCAAATGATATTTAATTTACATTTATTTTAAGAGAATACCGCTATTCTCATCCAAATGGTACGCAATTTTCAATTTTTGTGGTAGTTTTTGGTAATTTCAAACCTCCCTCAACTTAATGTCTACCTTTCGGTATTTTTTTTTTTTTTTTTACATTATGATGTTTTCATTCTTGTTAACTAACAAGAGTCCAAGGCATTATAAGTTTTTCATTTAAAAATACTATTAAGGAGGTTCAATCCATCGCTATAATCCATGTGACGCTTTGTATAGTTTCATAGGTTGTCTGTTTTTCTTACTCTCCTGTGACAACATAACCTTTTGTAGCTTTTACCACGCTTATTAATTAGCTTCTTCTCTTTAAAAAAAATCCTCATGATGTTCAATAAAATTCAATACGATCATTAGATACTTTTTTATCATTGATAAAATTTTTATCTAAAGTTCATTGTTGATAAGCAAGGTATAGAAAAATTTATTTTATCATACTATGAGACGACTATGATTCTTTCTACTGTTACGTATGTTTTTAGTTTTGAACCCCTAGTAGCTCTCAACCTATTAAGTAAAGCAGTGAAGCATTAATTTTATTATCACAATTATTAACTAATGTTAGTTCGCACTTTAATAATCTGAACAAACTTGAAATCGTAAAACCAAAAAAAAGGAGGGATGAATGTAACAAATTACAGACAACAGAGAGCAATTTTATCACCAAATAAATATCCTATGAACGTTGCAGTTTTTTTTTTAAATTAAGGTATCGTCAATACAGCATGCGACTTATTTTTAATACTTTAGTGGATGAACCTTAGTTACATTTTACATACATAACTTGTTTGAAAATGGAATGGTAAAAAATATTTCAGCGATTTACTCAAAAATAGGTATTTTCAAACTACTAGCTGATAAGACTTAGTGTTAAAACATGCGAATGAAAAATTAAATGTTTGGGAAACTGCACGCTTAATCTTCAGAAAAGTTTTACTTTTCATATTGTATATTATTGAGTTAACAGCTTTTGTTCTAAGCATTAATGTTTTTGTAAAAAAATCGTTTTTCAAACTACCTTGACATGTTATTTACATGTAAAAATGAGCTAAATTATATGTTACTCAATACAGCTCAACTTAATACAAAAATAATTTAAAAAAAAAAAAACATTTTTTTTCTTGTTTCAGTTTTCTACGATAAAGATATACTCATACAAATTGAGCATGATAAAAAAAGAATTACTACTCATCCATGGAAAAGTGTTGAAATTAAGAGTAAGTAGTAGTATTTATGAAAAAAACATCAAGAATTTTTATTTTTTTTTTTGATGGTTGGAATTATATTTAAAACGACTAATTCAGCTTTAAAATAGTAATTTTAACATTAGTATTTATTAAAAATTATTTTAAATTATTAATAGAAAACAATGCTGCTGAATTTCAATCGTTGTTAGAAAGGATCGAGGTACTAATTAAGATGATTACTAAGCATGTCAATTTGACTAAGTGCCAAAAAAACTCAAAAGTTAGCGGATCACTAGGAAATGTACTCATTGAGCTAAGCGTGATGAAAGACTTGGACAGAAAAGACAAACTATTAATATATCTTCGTCAACTACTCTGAAAATAATAAAAAATTTTCTATTGACCAATATGTATTCATAAAATTTATATGTATTCAAATCATTATTCTTGTATGATTTATCGATCCAGTAATATCCTTCCATTCCCTCTATGACTGGCCGTTATTCGCACACCACAGCATGAATTTGAAACAAACATTTATTCGTTGAAGTTAGGAAGTATGTAATTTTGAAGGTTATGATAGATTTAGAGTAAACAAAACGTATAATGTATATACCACTGCAATCTAAGGGTCTTAGAAAGCGTTTTTAAAGTTTTCAGGTTATTTTACTGCCGCCTTTTGAAGTATTTGTTAGTGGATTGTTACTCGGTATCATACATTTACTGTCACGAGATCTTTCACGTTAATATTCTTAAGCCTACAGACTTTATATTTTGGAAACAGGACCAGTGAGCTTCTTGAGTAAACTCTTTTTTGACCAAAGTTTCAAGAAAACGCAACTGCTTCTACACCTCAGGGTGATCTTTTGTAGCCTGTTATTGTAGCACCACACTAATCGGGAGAAAAACTACAACGTTTAAAGCTTTGGAGCTAGTTATTGAGCTTTTTCCTAACGTCTCCTGGTATTACGCTGAAGACTTTAGTGTCTAAAGCACCTTCTTTTTTTGCAGACTTAGTTGTTTTGGTGATCTAAGGTGAGGAGATCGGTTCGTGATGCTTGCGCGTTGAAGACTGTGCCTTTGTTAAAGATTATTTCTCTTTCATAGCTGTTAGGTTCGTCTAGTGCAGACCTCGCAGAGAATCGGTGATTCTTGGTTGAATGCTCAGAGTCGAGAGGGCAATATCGGGTTGCTGGTCGCCGGGGTTCCCAGCTCAACTCCGCTCGTGACGTCTGCTGGTAAATGACTGACTTGGTTTAATACTGGCCGGCTTTATATGGTTTCTTATTTGATGAATCGTTGCCGGAAATAGTAGTAAACATGTATTTATTGGCAAGGTAGTTTAATATTAGGTGGCCCTAAAAAGAACCGATGGGTTAGATGGTTGAGTAGAAAACGTAAATATTCATAATGACTCTAAAAAGGGCCAGTGGTGAAACTTCCAGCTATTCCTTATTATTGTTGATGATGGAGAGCTGGCTGCGAGTAGCTTGAACCTTACCCTCGGAGTATCTCTGTACGGAGACCGTGCTGGTGAGAGGTATGCCACTAACCAAAGAAAATCCTATCTTCGGATCGTTCCTGGGATAATCAACCGCTCATCGTTAGTAGGAAAAGTGGTCCTGGAGAATACCTTCTCCGTAGGTATGCCGTTGGAACGACCACTGAGAAGAAGGCCGTTGTGGCTGCTCGAACTCTTCAGAGTTGTTATCGTTGGATTGCTATTAAATCAATATCTGCTCTGGTAGCCGCAGGACGGTTGGAAGAGTGGCCATGAAATGCCAAAATGCTTAAGCAGATGGTGCTCTGTCTAGACACGTCTACTGATATTTCACCGGAGACGTGACCATTTAGAACACTTTTTTTTGGTGGCACTCGTCAATCATGGTAGCTCAGGATAGACTTCGACATAAGTCGATTGTTCATCATAGAACAGTGTTGCTCGGAGATATAATAACTAGACTTACTTAATTCTATTGCAGGTAGCTTCGATTTTACTTCTACGCCACCTAGCGGATCCTACTTAACTGAAGTAAAAAGTTGAAAAACTTTGAGCTTCTTTGTTGCTATTTTTCTTAATTTATTTAAGATAATAACTATACTTAAACCATCTAGGAAGTGTTAAGAGTCAGCATGCAAAATTTCAGCAGGATCATTTAAGTAGTTTTTGTGGTTAGCGATTACAACGGCCTTAGCGACTGCGCTGTATACATTAGTAAGACAAAGTCATATAGAATAAACATCTATTTCAATGTTTGTCCTGACGTTGATTATGAAACATTTGTCATAACGCTTTTAAGATTGTGCTGACATGTGGTAATTAAATAGATTATTTTGGGGTCGTAGAAAACATTTTGAGAAACTTATTTTTAATTTTTTTTCCTTTAATTTTTTGACAAGTGGAATTCAATAATCATGATCATTGCTCTTTGGACGAGTTGTGATAAAATTTGATTTTCTTAGTTTTGGACCCATCTTATCGATTGGTTGTTAACGCGTTTACTGTTGAAAGACAAATTATCAAACCCAAGGGCACGGTCGTACTTTGGATGACTAAGCATTTTTCCTTTCCTTACTCTACAATTATACTATACAAAATGTCTTTTACCGTAAATTGATTAAGTCTTCACAACAAAAAAAGCATCCGTAAATTTACTGCTCAGTCGTGTGTTTGTAATCGTATGGATAACTTGCATCCACATTTATCAATCTACAATTTTTAGTTACAAATCTCCTTTTTCCGTAAACCTGTTTGCAAGTTCTTATTTTAGGTTGCCTTATCATATCATGAAATGCTGTTCGCCGTATAACATTATTTGACAAGGTGATTTCTAATACGTCCGACGTTATTAATTTCTTAACTGTATCAAAATTTATGTTTTGACTGTTGATATCATTTAATCTAATACTCTTCACCTCGCAAACGTACTCATCGCCATTAGGTTTTTATATTTGAACGCGTAACACTTTGGTCTACCAGATATAAATGAAGTTATGTATGAACCGATACTTTTATCGAACTATTCTTCCGTAAGACATCTAAGTGTTGTACCGAGAGGTAAATTAGTTTCTGTTTCTTGACTCATGTAAAAAATAGAATCCGTGCCGTAATGTACTGCACGCAGCCCCACTACGTGTAAGTAGATTAACATGTTTAACCGAGCTTAGGCTATCACAAAAGCATCTATAACTACACTAGTTAACGGAGCAGCGTTGGCACAGTGGTAAGCGTGCTTGTCACTGATACAAAGTCATTCGAGAGGTCGTGAGTTTTAATCCTGGTGAGTCAAGATTTCTTCAAAAACTATTACCGGAAAAAGTTGCTATGCAATCCCGGCTATTTTGGGGCAGGTTTTTCTGTTGAGTTCTCCTTCAGAGTAATTCCAGGATTTTTTCTTGCTCCATAGGTCTTCGGGCCCAGGTGAATGCGAAACAGTGTTAGGGCTATAGGTAGAGATTAGCGGATCCGATGTGCTAGGCAGGGATCGCCAGCTTTACCGGCGAGGAGTGGTCCCTGAAACATAGGGCTCCCTCAGGAATGCTTATGAGCTTGTAGCCGGTGCTTTTGCAGAGAACACCGGTTTAACCGGCGAGAAGTGGACGACCTGAAATACGAAGTCTTCGGGGAATGGCTGTACAGTAGCGAGTGGATCCGAGCTAGCTGCTTAATAAGAGCCGCCGATTTGCGGTTTGCAGAAGTTCTCAACCTGAACACTAAACATCAAGAATCTCCCTAATAAAATAATGCACAGTGTACAAGTACATACTATTAGAGTAAAGAGCTTATATGTACTCAATAGGAGCACAATCGTAACCAAATACATAGTTATTTAACAAAACAAATGCTTCACTTAGTCCTTACATTGAATAGTGCGCCTTTAACGGTAAATACTGCAGACTGGAGCAGTTATTTTAACAAAAACATTTTCTTAAGTTCTTTGTTGCCTCTGGTACTACATGAACACTCTCAATTAAAACAAAAAAAAATGTTTTCCTAAAAAGTTACAAATAAATTAAAAAGTCTTTATAAAACGTCGAATAGGCAGTACGTGTTCAAAGTTAAAACAACTATGAAAGGGAAAGTGCTCTTTTGAAATAAATCGTTTTTATGGTTCATCTAAGTATTTTAAATGCATAGGCAAATTTTTCGTAAAAGAAGACTTGCAAAAAAAGTTAATTATAAATTAAGCAGTCTTTCCAAGTGGCCAAATCGGCTGATACCCGAAAAAAATTACTGTAGTTGGAAAACTGAGAGTGTTTTCTTTATAAAAATCAATTTTATAGTTCATTTGTCTAAAATAAATATGCACAATTTTAGCACAAGAACACTCTGCAAAAAAAGGTAGCTTCAGACTCACATGCACTATTGGTGTAGAGAGTGTCAGCTTAACTGGCAGGTGTATTTCACTGGAGATATTCCTACTGTGCCCATGGTATGACACCAATTAAGAGATTGTAGATAGGTGCAGAAATATATCCCCACACATAGGTGGTGAATGAGTGGTCCTGGTGACTAGGTGAGTAGGCTGCCGCGGTAACCGGGTAAATGAAAATAAAAAAACTACTCTAGTTAATGCAGTTGATGTGAAAGTCTCCATTTTATAGCTCCAGTTTACGTACAATGTACCATCGTTTACAGCCAAAATAACATTATCATCTATTTCTGTACTGGTGAGTTATTCCATCAATCTTTCAGCAGTCGTTACGACTTCTGTTTTTTTTTAAATTCTCGCGTTGAACAAGTTTACCTTACCAAGAATTTAGGCACAATGAAGCAACAGATCTTAATCCAGCATTAAACTTTGTTACACTTTTATTGAGGTCTAATTCTTTATCCTCTCGTATTTTATCAATATACGTATCGTTGCCTTTATCTGTGACACACTCGGGGAAGAAACAAGAAGCCTGTATTTTTTGCTTAAAAAACTCGTCGATTTAACTCGCGAATAAGCATCTTTCTTTAGTTTCTTGATTGAATCGTGTCATTCTATACTGTCACATTTCATTAATATTTTTTACTACCTAGGTTACTTGAACATCCATCTTGACTTCGTCACATATCTAAGTACTTTTTAGAATACGGTCATTCGCATCTTTGTGCGGACAATCGTCTTGAATCTAATTCTCGCAACATATACAACACAGTGGAAGAAATAACTTGTAATGCATTTTAACTGGTATCATAGGATTGTATAAATTGACTGGTGATATGACATCACACATGTTTAAGCCGTTTAAAAGGGATAAGTCATTGTTGTCTTCAACAATGCCTCGACACTCTGATTGTCCTATATATATCAATGGATGAGCAACAGAATAGTTATCACATTTGCATATTACGAATACAACAAACAAATG